GTTAGTACGTAAAAATGTAAAAAAGTCAAGTAGTACTAGTAGTGTGTCATAATAGTAATAGTAGTATGTCATAAATATAGCATGTAAAGTAGTATGACAAGTGTAAAGTAGTCATACTATATTAATAGATAGTAGGTACAAGTGTATGGGCAAGAGTATGGGCAAGTGTAGGTAAGAATGGTAGGTGTACAAGTGTCATAAAGTAAGTGTAAATGTTAAAAATATGATGAAAAGTGTAAGGTAAGTCATCATAATATGTTTGTCAAGTAGTCATAAAATAGGTACATACGTAGTGGGAGGATTGATTGTAATATAAAGTAAAGAGCTTCCTTTCTATATAAAGGGAGGCAGATGTAAATGTAAGGGCGGACTTGAACGCCTAAGTAAATAAACACCATCGTTTCAAAAATACTCTCTCAAGATAGATAGTTAAAATACTAATGGAAAAATCTGAAATCCAGTCAGATATTTCAGATAGCATGGCTGGCAAGAGGCAAAGGTATATTGTTCAAAAAATATGCAGAACTAATTTCATATATTCCTGAATATCATATATATGATTGAATAAATTTATGTTAGTTATTATGTATTAGAATTATTTGAATCATGATTTCTAGTTTATTAGCACACTGGAAACATGGAGAAAACTTCTATACTATGCCATCCTAATGTTGAAACCGGTAGGCGAGGAAAGCCGTTTAGGGGAGTAAACAAAGTTGAGGCGCTGATAAGAAGGAAGTATCCGCTAAAGTACGATGCTAGTAGTGACAGGAAAACATGATAAAGATAATCTAGTTCATAATGATCTAATATGAATTTAATCAATTATGAATATGATAGGAAGGAATAATTTGAAATAAAAAATCTGCATGATAAAGAACATGACTACTTACGTTCATAATGAAATGATAAAAAACTACGAAACTTTAATAATATATATACTTAAAGATATAAAAATAATTGAATTAAGAAGGATCATATGGGAAAAAATATTTAATGATAACGAATCAGAAGATATATTAAACCAACAATGGTATGAAATAGACCTACATGATTTAGACTTCGAAAGAATAGAATGGTATGATTTAGAAATAAATTCATATTAAAATGAACTACGAATATTTTCAATATTGGATAAAATCTATGGAAGATATAAAACTATTAGAACAATTAATGGAGGAAAATTTATATATGTACCAAAGAACCGAAGATATGTTATATCTAGAATATATCATAAATAATATTAAAGAAATATTTAGATTAAAACAACTATCAGAAGAATATTACAATAAATATTATTACATTTACCATGAATTTTACACTACCAAAAAATAACATTAAAGAGATATCAAGATTAAGACACTTAACAAAAAATATTATAATAAAATCTTTAAAATAAAATACTCACCTACCACACTACCATAAGCACATAAAAGACAAACACTTTAAAATCATTCACATTGCTAATAATTGTATTACAGAGAATTAGTAATTTATTTTAATACTTGATTAATTAACAATTAGAGTAGATGACCAACATAGCACATACTTACAATTTAGTTGACATTTAAAAGTAATAAAATCATTTTTTTTAATTTAGATTTAGAGTGACAAGCCATTAGATCATGCTCCTATAGGCATGCTTCCTAAGACAAGTAGGCTAGGACAAAATAAATAAGCAAATAGTATGTAATTCCCCTCCCCCTTAGACGATCCCCCAAATTATTACATATATATAGAGTTAGAGTTTACAAATTATTACAAAACAATAATAGAGATTAAATAGTACATAAGTTAAACAAAATTAATTATGTCTTATCGCTTCCCTCCCATGGCAACTCTTTAACACTTCAATTCAAAGTTCAAACCCCTGCTAAGCAAAAGAAAGCAATACAACCTAAATATGATGCAAAGGACACATAATATTATATAGTTTAATGGGCCCAAGGAACATAGGACATACACATTAATTCACGTAATACACTACACGAATACAATAATACATATAGAAAGGGAGAAGAGAACTGGCCTCGATGCTTCCTTTTATTAATATCCATTTTTGGACTTATGCATAAAAGTAACTAAATAACGACGCAAAATTTTTTTTAGATACATGTATGAACGGCACCAACCGATTAAGCAGTTAAAGATAAATCAGCAATGAAGACAAGTTGACTCCACTAATCGACCGGAACACAACAAATCACTTCTTAAGAGTTCACCGGAAATTCCTTCTAAGCAGAGAGTAATATGATTTTTCTTTTAAAGTATTCTAGTATGTGAGCCAAGATGTCTGAGTCCTCTTGAAAACTTATCTGGATGGATCTGTTAAGATCCATCTTTTAACGTACTCGAAATCTTCAGAAGCTCCATCGGAATCCACTGCATGATCTCAAACTGAAGCGACATTGCTTTTGTTGTTGCTGTTGTTGATGGAGTCGGAGCTCGCTGGTAGGAGTTGTTGCTGCTGGCCAGATCTTGCTGATTCTCTCGTCGGCTTGCTGTTGGTGGTCTGTTGTTTCGCCGGATCTCGCTAGCTGATGGTGTTCCTCGTCGGTGGCTTGCTGGTCGGTGTTTGTCACTGCTGTTCGTCCCCGCCAGCTGCCGAAGTTGTTGTCGTCTTCGTTTTCTTGCATGTGGTTCGCCTGGCTACTGTCCAGAGCCGCTGGGGGAGTTGTTCTCGCCGGGAAACTAGAGGAGGAGAGGAAAGGGAAGAGAAGGCAGCAAGGAGAGGAAAGGACGAACGGAGGTTTCGCCGAAGAGGGCGATGGTGTCTCTCCGTCTCGTCGTCGCCGATGGAGAAGAGGAGAGAGGAGGGTTGCGGCTCCTCCATCCTTTGGAGAGCAAGAAAGATGAGTGAATGTTAGGGTTAGAAGTCCTTTTGTTTAAAATAGGAAAAATGGTAGATTCGATCTGGACCCTCGATTTCAAAAGAGATGAAGGGATGAGATCGAATAAAATAGATCAAAGGTTTAGATTAAGATGAGGTTTTAAGATTTGGATTCACAAAGGCTATAATTGGAATAGCAATTGGTTTAAAGAGGCTAGAATTTAAATGAAATTGCATAGGAGAGAGGGCTAGATTTGAAATAACATTGAATAGATAGGGCTACAATTTAAATAATTTAATGGAAACTTAAGGAGATGCTACTCGATTAATGAAATTCGACATATATTAAAATATTTTCACATAAATTAAGCACATCTAAGTTTTAAGAACCTTTAAATAAATAAGTAAAATAATAATTTCGAGTTCAAATCGATTTTAATAATAATAATAATTACAATATTTCATTTTCATTTTTATATAAATCATACATACTAAAATATATAATTCTTAGATAAAATCGATCAAAGTTTTAAACTAAAAAATATATTTAAAAATATGTATTTAATCGAATAGCATTCCCAAAAAGGGTTAAAGGTCGGTCAAAATTGGATGTCTACAATACCCGATGTCGGATCAAGGCCAAGATTGAGGTTACTTTCTACATTAGCCACCCTCAACTTAAGCTTTTGGCCTGAGTTGGGGTGCACATGTCCAAGGAGGGACCGGGGCCAACATAGTAGATTATGGGAAGGTGAGTTAGGGGGTTAGAAAGAAATGGTCTAATTTAGGCTTAAAGCATTTGGATCAAATGGAGCATTTATTTCATTTGGTTGGATTCTTATTTTAGGCAATATGTGGACTTATCAGAACAAGGGCCTATGATCACTTCCTAGCCTCTAGAGTAGATTGTCTTAGCAGGACTAACCGGGCAAGTTCTAGATTGGTACAAAAACTGTTTGAACAATCAACTATTCTCACACACTATTGACACATAGTTTCATTATCAGATTATCAGATTGCCCAATTCAAGTTTTAGCTTAAATCATGCCATCAAGTTCATTCATTATCATGTCATACTCAGAGCCAACCCATTCAACTCATTCTAGCCTACAAATTTTAGCATATATCACAAAAATAATTTTGGACGGTATTATTTTTTCAATAAGCTTTTGCCTTCATGCTTCATTCGTTCTCATGCTTCTACACATACAATCTTAAACATGTCGGTTCAACAAAAAATAAGTAGTCTCTTGGGGAAAAATAACACAGGCAAGAAAACCCCAAGAGAGTATTATGAGTTGGGTTACTTAGACTTCACCCTATCACTCACAATCCATTTACCCCAGCCAACAAAAAAATAGGTGCAATTGTCCCCAATGCACACAAAAAACAGTAAAAATTAATGGATTTAGGTGAAGCAAACCTGTGGCGCTTAGCGCCGAAGAATCATCAACAAGCGGGTGGGTCCAGTTTAGCTAGGGTTGGACCTACGAGACCACGCTTGCGGTCCGTAGGTCGATCTATGGTCCGTAGATGGAGACCGTAGATCACCTTCACACTTTGTAAAATTTCACACACTTACCTGGGATCTACGGACGCCATTTACGGTCCGTAGAATGAACTACGGACCGTCGATGGGGTCCGTAGACCTCTGCACCAGACCATTTTCTATAGATTTTGCCCTGCATACCTGCACATGTAGCAACTATTAGGCCATTCTTTTTACATTTTCTGGACACTTTTTAGACACGGACCATATGCTATATCTATCCAATACTAACTAAGAAATTAAAGCACTTATCTAATTGAGTACAAAGACGTAATTAACCAAAGAAACTACTAGACGCAAAACAAAAGCTATAGTTGGCTAGATTGTACATATTGGGTTGCCTCCCAAGCAGCGCTTGATTTAACGTCGCGGCACGATGCAGGCCTCTTGATTACTCAGACTTCATCAAGATGCCATGCCTCTCTCAGTGCATTTACACTCTCAAAATTTCCCATGTAGCGTTTTATCTTCCGTTGGTCTGCTTTGAACCTTGTCCTATTCCTTTTCTCAAGCTCAACCACTCCATGTGGGGACACTTGGGTCACTTTGAATGGTCCAGTTCACTGGGACTTAGATCTGCATGGAAAACAACACAACATTACTTTATACAACAACACCAGATCACCAGGAGCTAGTTTGCGCTTTTGTCTTTTGAGCATGGCACTTCTTCTCCATGTACAAGGCTACACCTAACTTCTCCTTACTAAACACTTCAGCACCTCTTCCGAAAGTGTGACTCACCACCGATACCGATTTAAGATCACTTGCCTGCTTCATAGACTTACAGACGTTAAAGGTCACCTTCTCCTTATTTAGTCGGAACTTCAGCTGCCCTCTCTCCATATCAACTAAGGCACACCCAATAGCAAGGAACGGTGTCCCTAAGATGATGGGGACCTCAAAGTCAACCTCACAATCAAGTATAACAAAGTCTATCGGAATAATGAATGTCTCCACTTTCATAAGGACATCTTGAAGCACTCCATAAGGCTTCTTCACAGTTCTATTAGCCATAAGTAAATGCATCGCAATTTGTTTTGGAGCTCCTAAACCCAACTTCTTATAAATTGACAATGGCATCAAGTTAATGCTGGCACCTAAATCACAAAAAGTTTTTCCAAAATGCATCTTACCGATGGTGCATGGAATAGTGAAAGCTCCAGGATCCTCTTTCTTTTGTACCAGTGACCTCGTAGAAATGGCACTACAATGCTGCAACCTCTCACAATTCTCAAAACTGACAACCCTCTTTCTGGTCACCAAGTCCTTCATGAACTTTGCATACCCAGACATTTGCTCCAAAGCTTCTATCAAAGGGACATTGATGGAAAGTTGTTTCAACATAGTTATGAACATGTGGTACTTTACTTCTTTAGCCTTCTGCACTAACCTCTGTGGAAAAGGAGGTGGAGGTCTAGGCATGGGGACGACCTTTTGGGTTTTCTCCGCTTCTTTCTTTGTAGCATTCTTGGACTCTTAGTCACCTCAATCTCATCATAACCTTTTTCTACCACTTAAATAGTTTGCTTTCCTTTGCGAGTCATGATTGCCATACAATACCTATCATTCTTCGGATTTTGGATGGTGTTGCTGGGCAATGTGCCCGGCTGGCGTGTATTCACGATAGCAGACAACTGACTAAACTGCTACTCAAGCTGCTTTATCGATACTACATGTGCATCAACTTTCTGGCCAATTCTGGACAACTCATTTTGCATCTCCTTCACATTCTCACCAGTTGCGTCAAACCTCCTCATCATTTTCTGCATCATATCCTCAATACATGACATATTACCTCCCATTTCGCTAGGAGCAGAATCCCGATTTTGAGGCGGAACATAAAGTCCAACCCAATCATTTTTGTTGCCATAGTTGTTCTGGTTGTAGTTGTTGTTGCGATTTAAGTTCCCATCCCGAACATATTGACCCTCTCAGTTGTAATTGCCCTAGTTCCGACCTTGGTTTCCTTGACCCTGGCACCAATTTTCCATGTTGGATCCTTGGGAGTTTGGTCGGAAACCCCTGTCTGATCATTCACCTCATAAACATCCTTTTCATAGTAACACTCTTCAACTGGTGGTGGAGCTCTAGTCAAGTAGTTCACAGCATTTACCTTTTCCGCACCTCCGCTCACATGCTGCCATACCAACCTTAACTCGGTCCTCATTTGAGGTATCTCCTCACGAATCTCATCTGCAGACTGGTTGTTTGTAGCATGAACGACAAATGTGTTTCTCCCGATATCCGACCTCTTAGTGCTCCATGCTTTATTGTTGTGAGAGATCTTCTCCATTTTTTCTGTAATATGTGTGTATGTGCACTCACCATATGAACCTCTAGCAAGAGTATCAAGCACCGCTTTATTGTTGTCATCCTGACCTCAATAGAAAAATTCCTTCAACGAATCATCATCAATACGTAGATTCGTAACACCTCTTACGAACGCAGTGAATCTGTCCCAAGAGCTACTCACAGACTCTCCAAGTAATGCCACAAAATTGTTGACCTTATCTTTGGGATTGAGCATTTTGGACACTGCATAATATCTTGCTAAGAACACATCCTTCAGTTAGTCCCATGTATAGATTGAGTTATAGGGATGCTCAGTGAACCAAACAACATCATCGCCTGTCAGTGATAGAGGGAACACTCGCAATATGATGACATCCCTATCCAAGTCTGGTAGACCTACACAGCTTTTGCAAACCACCCTTAGCTTAGCTATGTGAGCATGTGGGTCCTCCATTGGCAACCCCGAGGAAAAGCCCCTCGTTGTAAGCATCTGCATCAAGATACTGGTCACCACATATGTGTGCCCCGGAGGGAAATGGGGTAGGACAAGAGGTCTATCAGAGTCAGCAATATTAACGTTGCCCCTATAGTTTTCATGCGGTCGTGGGCCTGGTGGACCCTGCACCCTCAATGCATCTCCCAATTGATTTTCAGCTGGAACTTGGTTGTCCCCACCAACTACCCTCGGAGGTTGCAATTCAACTTCATCACCTAGATTGCCTCCGATAGGATTAACTTGAACTTCTTGATTGTTCATTCTTCGCAAAGTTTGGTTCAACTCTGGATCGTAAGGAGTCAGTGGTTCACCCTGGCTCCGTGTACTTAGCATACACTAGAGTCAGGACCTAAGAGAGACAAAAAGGAAAAGAAAAAGTAAAATTAGGAAATATTTGACTAAATTTCAATAATGTAATTAAAATTAATCTAAAAGCCAAATTCCCCGGCTGCGGCATCAAAATTTGATACACTCAAATTACACCTCCCTAAAGAAGCATAAGCGATCGTTATCAAGTAGAGAATCCAACTTGTAAGTTGGGGTCGATCCCACGAGAAAATGGTTTAGACTTAGATTTAACCAACAATTATATTCGTTTAGTCAACTTACTTCCAGAAACAAGTAATTAAATGGGGGATTTGTGAAACAAATTGTAAGAATTCAGTAAGTAATCAGTAAACAAAAGTCAATTTAGTGTTATCAAGATGAGAGAATTAACTAGGGTATACATGTTCCCCACAAGCTCATAACACAGTAATCCTAGTAATAGCAATCCCTTCCTAGTGTACTACATGCAAAGTGATAAGCTAGGTATCTCTAAATCCTTGGTCCGACATCTAGAGAATTTCACCCCGCACCTTGGTCCGGCTACATGTGTATAATTTATTAAACTTACCTTTACCTCATATTAGACATCACATCGATGTTTGGCTTAGTTAATACTTCGCATCAATCGACACTAGACTATTAGATAGTATCACACTAAATCTATGTTGATAATTCTTTTCTTGTTGATTACCTCCTTGGTCTGGCAAGTAGCAACAAGGCGAGTCCTAACATTGCGCACCGTTAAAAAGACATTGAAACGAAAGAATTATCAATGCATGAAAAACACTATTCAAGAATTGCTTATTTACTATTAATACTTTGTTAATCAGTCATGGTTCCCACAACCCTAGTTGTGGAGTTTAGTTACCCATAATCATATGAACACAATTCATTGTTTTAGATGAAAGAATTATGAACTTACGTAATTGAGAATAACCAAACCCAAAATTTTAACTTGAATCTCAAAACCAAAACCTTCAAAATCAACTTAGGAAATCAAGAATTTCTAGGTTTGTAAAAATTAATCCCAAGTCACAAAGAAGAACTAAAGTAATAAAGTTTAACCTTCAAAAATGAGGTTTACATTCCCTATTTATAGAAAACAAGTCCTAAATTAAAAGGGAAATAAAATAAGGAAAGTTTGTTCAGGCATGTGTTTTTATTCCACGAGACTGACTCACAAACTGTCAATGGATCTACGGTCCGTGAGTCCCTTCCGTCAGCCAAGACTTAGAAAATATTTCAGCTTCTAAAAATTAGCTTCTCTAAAGCAAATGACGGAACACCTGTATGGACTGTAGATCGATCTACGGTCCATAGATCCCTCTCCGTAGCTCCATACTTAAAATTCTCCAAAAATCAGGTACTGGAACCCTCGCAGTCACATTCTACGGTTTAGCAGTACGGTCCGTAGATCAATCTACGGACCGTCAATGGCCACCGTGGTTCCACACTTGGTCAGATTTCCCTGATTTGCCTTCCATGCCTTACCTGCTGATCTACGATCATCATCTACGGAGCGTCAATGGACCTACGGTCCGTAGATCACCTCCGTAGACGCCCCTTTCTGCATTTCTTTCAGTTGTCTCTTTACTTCCGCGCCTAAACATCTTTCCTGCAAAACATGATAAAAACCAATACAAAAAGGCCCTAGACACACACAACTCTTAAGTGAAATGTATTAAAAATACCGTAAACTCACGGTATATCACCTACGAACAACATTTTCATGACCCGAGTATATTATTTTGCATATCATGGCCCTAAACATCATAACCTAAGACATCATCCACATGGTATATAGGCAAATATCATGGTTGATATGATAAATTGCATTATGTTTATATTTACCATTTATTGGGTATATTTTCCCTAATTATTTTATCTAGTTGTATCACACGCTACAGATTTGCAGAAATCAATAGATTACAAACAAGATCAATCACCCTTTCAGATGAGACCATCATAACGTATATATCTCTAACAAAGGCCCCTTCAACCTTTCGCTACGCATATGATCTCTTGCTGCACTGTCTAAGTCTATTCACTTCACCTTGCTGCTCTAATCTCATCCACTCATGCCACTATCATTCGTGTCTGAATATCGTACCGTTATTTCAGCTTTAGAAGTTTCATTTTTACCTAAATCTAGAACTACATACGGTCTGATTCTCGTAATACTAGAGATATGTAGGTTACTTAAAACCAAAGTATCAGTCATTCCATTTTTCCACATTTTGCATTTCAATTCAATTGATCCCGCTAACATCCATTTGTTGGTCAGACAAAATCGGCTACTTAGTCAACGTTGGTTGCCCAACAATTCATCCTTCATTCTCAAGAAACCAAGGGACAGTTATTGATACCCAATTTTGTGACAGACCTATAACATTTTCCGAATTTCTAGTTGATTAAATATATATTAGAAAATCTTTTTCTCCTTATTTTACAGGTTCAAAATTTAAAGAAATTTTATGTTAGTAATTAGATTTTAATATCATAATATAGAAAATTTATTATTTTCTTATCAAATAATTTTTTTATTGTCATATTTATCGGCTGTCAAATTTTTAAAATAATTATTTTACTTATCAGTTTAAGGTTTAAAATATTTAAATATATTAATTTTATATAATAAATAATAATTTAAGTGTAGTACTATATTTAATTAAGTAGCAATTCTTAATCATCTCTCAAATCATTTAAACTATAGCCTCTCTTACCTAATTTATTTAATTTATAACCTTTTTCCTAGTCAGTTGCATTTCAATTCTAGCCTTCTCAAGTCAAATCCTATTTCTATTAAAGCCACCTATCCAGTTTAATTTTAGCCTATTTCTTTCAAATTTCAGACTATTGTATGTCTTTTAATCTGAATTGTTCGTCCCTCATTGCTATTCATAGATCAGATCTTAGCCGCTCATCTCTGTCTTTATCAACGACCCAGATCCTTTAAGCACTCCTTTCCTATATTAATCTCAAAAGATCAAACCTAAACATTTTTCTTCTTGATCCTCATCTAAAAAGAGAGCAGCGCCACAGCCCTCCACTGCCTCTTTCTCCATCGCCGGTGAAGACGACCGCCAGGCAGTCCGGACATGTAACACCCAGTGAAACTAGTAAGACTAAACTAGAGCCTAACGTAAAACTAGTAGCCTATATAGCTTTAAAGTAATGAATATAGTCGTAAACTAACCTCCGTTAAGTAATACAAGTGTTTTTGGATTTAAACATCAAGGGACGACCCTCAAGGACCAACCATGGGTCCTTGAGGAGGATCCAAGAGAAGGCCCAAAAAGCTGCAAAA